AAGGGGAAGAAAAAATTAATTTGAAAAAAAAAATTCATCCTTGTATGACCTAATGTTAACTTAAAGTTTTCAAAAGAACAAGACTTTTCTTGAGATGCTCTTTATAAAATCTCGCTGGCTTTGAGCATCCACTTAATCGCTCAGAAAATCTATTATTAAGGAAATGATTCTATTCTTGTGGCGTCGAGCCATGGGATATGTTATGTTATAATTTGTCAAAGGTACAGTAAGAATAAACATTTTGCAGACAGGTCCAAAAAAAAAATAATTATATATATAAATCAAACCTGAAAACAATCCAGTGAGAACATTTTCATTAGAAAGGCAGAAATTGTATCCGCTAGGGATTCTGGGTAAATTGGAAAAAAAAAAATGTGGTCATTCGTTTTGTCCTGCTAGTAAGACTCTGTCTCATACTTTGAGATCTCATCAGTCTTGAAGCGATTTCTGGACTCGAGTTACTTTGTACGATGACAACAAAACGAATGAAAGACTGTACTCAGCCAGCGTTCACCGTGACTCTGCTTCTTGGCAGCGTAGCTACGAACAATGTCTCAATGTGCGAATTATTGATTTGTTTATGGGATTTATTTTTGAAATCTGAATCCATAGACCAGGAAGTGAACAAGGTGTTTCAGCCAATCCGTGACCTGCCATTATTATATTGGAGATTTATAGGATATGTAGCATAATGGTAAGATTGCAAATAGAAGCGGTAAAGATAATGGCCATGAGTACTTTCATTCATGGAAAAAAAAACAACACTACTTATACCAGGCTACTTCATAACTCGCCGAGTAGCAATATGGAGTACAAATAATGTAGGATCGAGTACGGTTAGTAGTTGTTGTGCAATAAATGGATATAAAAAATGAACACTTTTTAAACTGGTTTTATACATTCCTGTGACATTTTAAAAACTAGAATTAAATCATTTTTAACACTTTATTTTGATGTTAATAATTTTATACTAACACCGAGTTTGAAAATGACCATTTATGTAGCGAAGAACATACGCGGTGCAGTGTGTGAGGAAAATCTTCACCTGTTTCAATCTCTGAGACATTGAGCGAGATGTCAGGACTAATGGAAATAAAGCGTTAGTGGAGATCACTGTGCGTCAAGCAAAACTTTTCCAAGGAATCTAATGTGTGGATTTGGGTAATTGCAAACATGATGAAAACCCACCTCACTGCTCAGGCATTTTAAGGGTACAATACAGGTTTTGTGAAAGAAAAGGAAAATTGAATTGTACTAACCATTTAAACAACAAATCAAAGACAATCAAAGACCAGCAAAGTAAGGAACGTACTTACCTCTCCAGTGCAAGAGTGCTGAGCACTTACTTGGGAAAGTTAGTTTTGGGGGCAAGAATTATACCAACAAATTCCTAAACATACATTACTGTGAGCTTAATAGCTGTGGAGCTCTGTGATACACTCGTACACATGGCATATTACTGTGAGCTTAATAGCTGTGGAGCTCTGTGATACACTCGTACACATGGCATATTACTGTGAGCTTAATAGCTGTGGAGCTCTGTGATACACTCGTACACATGGCATATTACTGTGAGCTTTATAGCTGTGGAGCTCTGTGATACACTCGTACACATGGCATATTACTGTGAGCTTTATAGCTGTGGAGCTCTGTGATACACTTGTACACATGGCATATTACTGTGAGCTTAATAGCTGTGGAGCTCTGTGATACACTCGTACACATGGCATATTACTGTGAGCTTAATAGCTGTGGAGCTCTATGATACCCTTGTACACATAGCATATTATTGTGAGCTTCATTGCTGTGGAGCTCTGTGATACACTCGTACACATGGCATATTACTGTGAGCTTAATAGCTGTGGAGCTCTGTGATACACTTGTACACATGGCATATTACTGTGAGCTTCATAGCTGTGGAGCTCTGTGATACACTCGTACACATGGCACATTACTGTGAGCTTCATAGCTGTGGAGCTCTGTGATACACTCGTACACATGGCATATTACTGTGAGCTTTATAGCTGTGGAGCTCTGTGATACACTCGTACACATGGCATATTACTGTGAGCTTTATAGCTATGGAGCTCTGTGATACACTTGTACACATGGCATATTACTGTGAGCTTTATAGCTATGGAGCTCTGTGATACACTTGTACACATGGCATATTACTGTGTGTGACTTACCAAACTGACACTACAGTATGTTAACAGGTACAATTCTCAGCAAGCGGGGCACACAGACAAATGCAGGTGGCTGACATGGAGACTCACATGACTCCGACTTGAGTCGCTGACCCTGTTTTACATCTGTTTTATGCATACACACACACACAGACACCTGCACACACCTACAAACATAGTGACGTACACATACAAACTAACACACCTACACATACTTACAACATATTTAGCTTGTGCCATTTAGTCAGTATTTGAAATTCTGAACCTCAGTCACATCCCCCCAACAAGTTCTGTAATACACGCAAAAACACTGTACGTTGCTGTGAGTTTTAGTTTTGTGGAGCTGTGTAATACACTCATACACACTGATCATTACTGTGAGTTTTATGGCTACGGAGCTCTGTGATGCACTGATTACACACTGCACATTACTGTGAGTTTTATGGCTGCGGAGCTCTGTGATGCACTGATTACACACTGCACATTACAGTGAGTTTTATGGCTGCGGAGCTCTGTGATGCACTCATAAACACTGCCCATTACTTGGAGTTTTATTGCCGTCTAGCTCTGTGATACACTCGTACACACTGCACATTAATGTGAGTTTTATTGCGGTGGAGCTCTGTGATACACTCGTACACACTGCACATTAATGTGAGTTTTATTGCGGTGGAGCTCTGTGATACACTCGTACACACTGCACATTAATGTGAGTTTTATTGCGGTGGAGCTCTGTGATACACTCATACACACTGCACATTAATGTGAGTTTTATTGCGGTGGAGCTCTGTGATACACTCGTACACACTGCACATTACTGGGAGTTTTATTTTTATGCGAATACACTCACACACGGGCACATTATTGTGAGTTTACTGCTCTGGAGCTCTGTGATACAGTGATAAATAGAAAGTAATGTCCCGTAAAGAGTTAATCTTTGTGGAAAACACCCTCTCTCACCTGCAGTGTTGAAAATGTAAGTTTTATGGGGGTGAGGGGGAGCAGACAGCTTGTACTTGTGTGGAGAGGGTCTACAGCCTATACAATAGTTTATTGTACAGCAGGTGGCACACTGGAGGCAGACACTCATTCTGTATAGTATGTAATACAGTTTAATCAGGTGCAGTCTAGTACTTATTGTCATTTCTCATCAGTCCTCTCTTGGGGAGTCATTTTCACCGGCAGCAAAGCATCCTAACCGCCAGCATTCACCACCAAAACACCAACTAACCTCATTGTTGGCCGTTCCTGACTGCAAGACTTGATATAGTGCTGAACTTTAACCCCAGCAGTGTCTGCAAAGTGAGACCAACACCCCCAGGCACTCACAGTGTCAAGAATTCCTGCTGTTATGTATGTAATAAATCATTCATTTCACAATGTATTTCTTTATCTAGGACTTTTTTTTTGTGCTTTTTGGGGGATTTTAACCCTTTCCATCAACTATTACACAGTCGCTACTGGATATGCATTCTCGCAGACGCCAACAATAATAAAAAAAAGTGTTTTTTGCCAAATATTTGAGTTATTTTGTTCCAGCAAAGTGGTTCACATAGACTTGGTTCCCTGTACCCCCTCTACCACCAAGAGGCTGCTGTTTAAAGTTCTGAAAATGGAGCAATCTGAATGAATATTCCATTGGTTTCTATGGTGACTGCTCCTCTGCATTTACTCTGTGGCTTGGATGCTTAAATGAAGTCCTATTTATCACTACCAGCACTATATTGCAAAACACTGATTTATTTTGTAATAATATATATAATAAATAATAATATTCGGGTTTTCAGAGTGCGAAGCCCTGAATAGAGTAAAAAACACATCGGCGCTGCCTGCGAAAACACAGCAAACTAAATATTATTGCATGAGCAAAAAGTGTTAATGCGCTCTATGAGATATTTATTCCAAATAAACACACATTCTCGTGGTTTTCACAGCTGTGAGACCAATTTTGTTCCTCTACCAGGTGGATGAGCGAAGGTCTGGCTACACAATAGTTGGAGATTAACCGCAAAAATGTAAACACTAATCCCTCTTTATGGAGAGAGAAAAAAAAGACTTTTCAACAGATTTAAAGTGGCGCTGTCATTGTAGGGTCTCTGCCTTTTTTTTGTAAAGGTGATATAGGGTGACATACCTGGATGTGACGCAGATAGGGAGATATGTTTAGCTGTACATCCTCTGTGCCACCATTCGGTTTTGGGCAACGACATCTGCCATTAATCGTCATCATAACCGTATTTTCGTGCATGTCCAAGACGACAAAACTGGGTCTATGGAGTATCCAGCGAGACTGTAGGATCTTCCCCAGATAATTTTGTAAATGCGCAATAGGACATAGGCATCTGCTGTACATAGCGCAAAATGACACCTGTTCCCATCAGCCATCACAACCGACAGCTGATTAGAAATGGTGGCGGACACAACGTTGCCAAAGATTGCCAATTGCAAAATATATTTCCAAAAACATTTCAAAAAAGTCCAAAACACTATTCAAATTATTTTGTTAATTTAAATACGAATTTAATGAAATAAAACATCTATAAGATTTCACTAGAAAAATAATTAAACCCAAAAAAGGTGAAGTGAAATAAAATCATCGCATCCCTGTGACTTCTGGAAATGTAACTTTAAATATATACATTCTACAAGACTGACACATGTATACAATGTCTACCTATCTGGTTACTTGCAGGTAAGTTGTGAAGCCACCTACAGTCAATGATCACATATTTGAAACAATCCATAGAATATGTAATTGATATTAATAAATAATACTCATTACACTCAGAGCCCATCCTGCACCCCAGCCCTTACCTGTCATCTGACCAGAGCCCATCTCCAAGGTCTCTTCAGCATCCAGAGCTCCATCAGAGGTTAGAATTGCCCCCATGAGCAGGGACCACAGCTGACACAGAGCCCAGGCAGTAACACAAAGTCTGTTCCCTGTCCTCATGTCTGCTGAGCAGATACATCCAGTGTGTAACAATGTGTGTTACAGAGTGCTGTTACATGCAGTCACCCCAACAAAGAGGCAGCACCCCTCATACATCACAGGCTCTCCTATGCAATGCTGGCAAAGTAACAGCTCTCCTCCCAGCCCCTTAATCCAAATCCTTAGACTTCAGCCACACCTCTCTGTTTAGCAGGACCCCAGCTCCTGTCACATAGAGAACTCATGCCCCCTCCATCAGCAGCCCCTCCTGGAACCCAAAACTCCAAACAATGCAACACTTCTCTCAGATGAATGATTTAAAAATACTTTGTTACACTGCCCCCTCTCTCACTGCAGCCAGGGTGTGCTGTCTGAGCATCAGAAAAACAGTGTGAGTTCATACACTCACTGCAATGTATCATCCACACACCCCTTCCATCATAAATCCCCAAATCCACATTATTACTAAACATTGCAGATAGAAAGTAACCCACAGACCCCAGACCTACTGTGTGAGGCACAGACCTACTGTGTGAGGCACAGACCCCAGACCTACTGTGTGAGGCACAGACCTACTGTGTGAGGCACAGACCCCAGACCTACTGTGTGAGGCACAGACCTCAGACCTACTGTGTGAGGCACAGACCCCAAACCTACTGTGTGAGGCACAGATCTACTGTGTGAGGCAAAGACCCCAGACCTACTGTGTGAGGCACAGACCCCAAACCTACTGTGTGAGGCACAGACCTACTGTGTGAGGCACAGACCCCAAACCTACTGTGTGAGGCACAGATCTACTGTGTGAGGCAAAGACCCCAGATCTACTGTGTGAGCCACAGACCTACTGTGTGAGGCACAGACCCCAGACCTACTGTGTGAGGCACAGACCTACTGTGTGAGGCAAAGACCCCAGACCTACTGTGTGAGGCACAGAGCCCAGACCTACTGTGTGAGGCACAGACCCCAGACCTACTGTGTGAGGCACAGACCTACTGTGTGAGGCACAGACCCCAGACCTACTGTGTGAGGCACAGACCTACTGTGTGAGGCACAGACCCCAGACCTACTGTGTGAGGCACAGACCTACTGTGTGAGGCACAGACCCCAGACCTACTGTGTGAGGCACAGACCTACTGTGTGAGGCACAGACCTACTGTGTGAGGCACAGACCCCAGTGAGGCAAAGACCCCAGATCTACTGTGTGAGCCACAGACCTACTGTGTGAGGCACAGACCCCAGACCTACTGTGTGAGGCACAGACCTACTGTGTGAGGCAAAGACCCCAGACCTACTGTGTGAGGCACAGAGCCCAGACCTACTGTGTGAGGCACAGACCCCAGACCTACTGTGTGAGGCACAGACCTACTGTGTGAGGCAAAGACCCCAGACCTACTGTGTGAGGCACAGACCCCACACCTACTGTGTGAGGCACAGACCCCAGACCTACTGTGTGAGGCACAGGCTCCAGACCTACTGTGTGAGGCAGACCCCAGACCTACTGTGTGAGGGGTATACCCCAGCCAGACCTACTGTGTGAGGCACAGACCTACTGTATGAGGCACCCCAGACCTACTGTGTGAGGGGTATACCCCAGCCAGACCTACTGTGTGAGGCACAGACCCCAGACCTACTGTATGGGGGGTATACCCCAGACCTACTGTGTGAGGCACAGGCTCCAGACCTACTGTGTGAGGCACAGACCCCAGACCTACTGTATGAGGGGTATACCCCAGCCAGACCTACTGTGTGAGGGGTATACCCCAGACCTACTGTGTGAGGCACAGACCCCAGACCTACTGTGTGAGGCACAGACCTACTGTATGAGGGGCATACCCCATCCAGACCTACTTTATGAGGCACAGACGCCAGACCGTTTTGGTACGATGCAGACCCCCAGGTATCTCCTGTATGAAGCTTAGACACCCTAAGATATGATTTGCAGGATGTACAGGACCCTAAAACCCTCCTGTTTGATGCTCAGACACCCCTAGATCCCTCCTGTAAGAGACACTATCCACAATATGATTCACAGACCCTCCAGAATAGTGCACAGACACCCTAAAAATGTGTATAGACCCCCAGATTCCCCCTGTATGAAGCACAGCCCCCAGTATAATTCAGAAACCCTAAAAATGAGTGCAGTATGGTTTACAGACACCCAGATCTTCTTAGTATGGTGCACAGTTCCAAGTTTCCCTTAGTGTGTGGTGCACAGCCCCCCAGATCCCCCACTATAGTGCCCAGACCCCAGTCCCGTCCTCCCAGTAAGATGCAAGACCCCTAGTATGGTGCACAGCCCCCCAAATCCCCCACCTTAGTGCACAACCTTCAAGATCCCCCCAGTATAATGCACAGCTCCCCAGTATAGTGCACAGCTCCCCATATACCCCAGTATAGTGCACAGCCCCCCAGTATAATGCACAGCCCCCCAGTATAGCCCCTCTGTCTCCCCCTGTATAATGCACAGTCTCCCAGATCTGCACTGTGCTAAGGATTACAGCTGTACCTGGCCCCGCCCACTCTGGGGTTCTAATCTCTCAGCCCCGCCCACTCCGCAACGTTCCCGCCCCCCCGTCCAAGATCATAGAACAGGTTGGAGCTCTGTGATAGCAGTATGTAATTATTATTATTATTATTTATATAGCGCCAACAAATTCCGTAGCGCTGTACAATGTGAGAGGAGCTCTGTGATAGCAGTATGTAATGTGTGGGGAGCTCGGTTAAAGCAGTATGTGAGGGGAGCTCTGTGATAGCAGTATGTAATGTGTGGGGAGCTCGGTTAAAGCAGTATGTGAGGGGAGCTCTGTGATAGCAGTATGTAATGTGAGAGAAGGTCTGTGAGAGCAGTATGTAATGTGAGAGGAGCTCTGTGAGAGGAGCTCTGTGTTAGCAGTATGTAATGTGAGGGGAGCTCTGTGATAGCAGTATGTAATGTGAGAGAAGGTCTGTGAGAGGAGCTCTGTGATAGCAGTATGTAATGTGAGAGAAGCTCTGTGAGAGGAGCTCTGTGATAGCAGTATGTAATGTTTGAGGAGCTCTGTGGTAGCAGTATGTAATGTGAGAGGAGCTCTGTGATAGCAGTATGTAATGTGAGAGGAGCTCTGTGATAGCATTATGTAATGTAAGGGGAGCTCTGTGAGAGCAGTATGTAATGTGAGGGGAGCTCTGTGATAACAGTATGTAATGTAAGGGGAGCTCTGTGAGAGCAGTATGTAATGTGAGGGGAGCTCTGTGATAGCAGTATGTAATGTGAGGGGAGCGCTGTGTTAGCAGTATGTAATGTGAGAGCAGTATGTAATGTGAGGGGAGCTCTGTGATAGCAGTATGTAATGTAAGGGGAGCTCTGTGAGAGCAGTATGTAATGTGAGGGGAGCTCTGTGATAGCAGTATGTAATGTGAGGGGAGCGCTGTGTTAGCAGTATGTAATGTGAGAGGAGCTCTGTGAAAGCATTAAGTAATGTGAGGGGAGCTCTGTGAAAGCAGTGTCTAAGGTGAAGGGAGCTCTGTGAGATATGTCATGTGAGGGGAGCTCTGTGAGGGCAGTGTCTAATGTAGGGGCATCTCTGTGAGTTTAGTGTGTAATATGAAGGGAGCTTTGTGAGATTAGTCTGTAATGTGGGTGGTAACACAGGCAGTTATAATGTAAGGGGTGCCATGATACAGGCAGTTATAATATGACGGGCATCGTGATACAGGCAGTTATAATATGACGGGCATCATGATACAGGAAGTTATAATATGACGGGCATCATGATACAGGCAGTTATAATGTGAGGGGTGCCATGATACAGGCAGTTATATTGTGACGGAGCCATGATACAGGAAGTTATAATATGACGGCGTCATGATACAGGCAGTTATAATGTGAGGGGTGCCATGATACAGGCAGTTATAAGGTGAGGGGCGTCATGATAAAGGCAGTTATAAGGTGACGGGTGCCATGATACAGGCAGTTATAATATGACGGGCATCATGATACAGGCAGTTATAAGGTGACGGGTGTCATGATACAGGCAGTTATAAGGTGAAGGGCGTCATGATAAAGGCAGTTATAAGGTGACGGGTGCCATGATACAGGCAGTTATAATATGACGGGCATCATGATACAGGCAGTTATAAGGTGAGGGGCGTCATGATACAGGAAGTTCAAATGTTAGGGTGCCAGTTTCAGCAGAGCAAGCATTTACATTATGCAGAGCTCAGTGGAAACCATGATAGCAATGAAACACACAGGACTATATATCACGCTATCTGGGGGCTGTCAATAAATGGTTGTTTTGACCGGTAAACTTTATTTCGATAGGTTATAATTTTGGTATATTGGGCATACATTTTATCGGAAAAATTACTATTAAATGGTGCACACAATTATCATACCTCTAAACAGTGATTCACTATCCCCCCAATCAGGGCCGGACTGGGAAATAAATTAGGCCCGGGCATTTTTCAATTAGAGCGGCCCCCAAGAAGGGGGCGGGGCCAGAGAGGGTGTGTTTTGTCATCACTAATGACAAGTACGCCCCTTCTGAAAGTGAGCATGTTGGTTCAATGCGCAGAGCCCCGCTGAAGAGCTCTGGCATTAGAAAAAGGCCCTGAATTCTATTCTCTTGGCCTGAAAGCAAATTAATAACATGCTTACACTGTATTTGCTTTTAAATTGTCTACTAGTTTCTCTCCACGAGTGTGCTGTCTGAGCAGTAGTGTGTGTATAGGTGACGTAGTGTGTGTAGGGGTTGTAGAGAGGGTGTGTTTAGAGAATGTTGTATGTGTTTGCTTACAAGGAATGTAGTGTGTGTGTAGGTGGTGCAGTGTGTGTGTGTAAGAGATCTAGTGTGTAAGGGACCCAGAGTGTGTATAGAAGATTGTGTGTGTGTGTGTGTGTGTAGAGGATTAAGAGTGCATATAGGGTAAGGGATCTAGCGTGTATCTGGAGCATAATGTGTGTAGTGGTGCAGTGTGAGGGGTGCTGTAGTGTGTGTGTATATATATTTAGAATATATTTGGACGTATTGTATGTGTGAGGTGCGCAGAGTGTTTGTGTAAGAGGGGTGCTGTGTGTGAGGGTGTTTTTATCTGCCGTCACATTCTAGGTTTCTAATTTTCTTTGTCTGTTAACTCACTGAGGGTTATTTTATATAATATATATATACATATATATATATATATATATAAATATATATGTGTGTGTGCTCTGTATATGTGTGGGAGTGAGGGTGCTGTCTGCGTCTGGGTGCTGCATGTGTCTGGGGGTGCTGTGTGTGTCTGGGGGTGCTGTGTGTGTC